CATATTGATTTAGTTGTGGTGGCATTGATGGATTTGGTGATTCCAAAATATTTGATATTGATTATTGTATGGGGTCTTTGTAAAGTTTCAGGTTGGTTTTGTTCTATTTTCAGGGGAAACTCTGTCAAAATTTTTACAAAAATATTGTGTTCATTAAGTAGTCAAACAGTCATAGAACAATCTATGTGGCCTTGGTGGCGGGTCCAGCATCTAGCTGGAACTCATCATCGGTGCATGTCACGTTTGGATCCACTAGGGTGACTCAAGACGGGGTCGTGTCAAACATGTTGGTAAAATCATAGGGAGCTGGATTGTGGTTTTCATCCGCATTGTGTATTGGAAATATATGGGTTGTTTATCGTGGTGATTGATCTTTTCTTCATATACGTTTTGAAGTGTGGTACTAATTTATATTTATGATTTTGCTGATATAGTAGACCACCAAGATTTGATGGGAACAGGCCGAGGTTTGAAGAATGGATACCCAAGAGGGCCACCAGGAGACTTTGATGGTGAGAAAGGTGGAGCTCTTGTTGATTGATTACCTACCCGCTTTCCTGCTAATTTATGTTGATCTACTGCATAGAGTTCGAACAACAAATAGAACTACAAAGGCACAAAGAACAGATGAAGCATATTGAGTTCTAATAAATGACTATCATGAACGTCCCTTCAAAATCACAATGTTAAATATGGTGATCTTTAAGGGTTGGCCATAGTAATTTGCCTATAACCTGTATTTTTTGTTATATGTTTCAAGACACTTAGTTTTGGTTGATGTTAAGAAATTTTCATATTGAATGCAAGTTAGTAGTGTTTGTTTTCCCCTTTTTGTAGTTTGAAATCAATTTTGACGCGATTTCATATTTCATGGTGTATATTTGAAATTTCAGTATTGTTAAATTTTTTTTTCACAAGAATAATTGATTAATATAATAAAAAATTATATATTTTTATAAATTTAATACAAATTTGTGTTGGATTTATTTACATGGGAAGTTTTCACTGGAAATTAGGAATGAAAAATAACAATGAATGTAATTCCGTAGAAAATGATGAAAAAGTTTACAAATGGAAATAGTAAAGATAATTCCATCTATAATTTCTATTGAATTAAGTCATAGTTAAAATTGTGGGTAA